TTATATCGGTTGCGATTTCTTTTGAGGACTCTCCTATTATGAACTCACATATCAAACCATAATCAGAATGCATAAATCGATCGCTCACATTTCAAAACGTCATTCATAAAAACCTGATACCCTTCCGCAGGGTCTATTGCAAGAAACTTATAACGTTTCGGTGAATCGTATGCTGAAACTCTATCACACTTTGCAGAAAATTTCTGCAAAACGTTTGCAAATTATGAAAAGTTTTTGAATTCCTATCAGTGGAATCATCTTATTCTTCGATATCCTCTGGGTATTTTTCAATATCTTCAGAAAAAAGCTCGAGAAGCATATGAAAAAGCGTTGACAGTGAAGGATGATCGGGAATCGTTGAGTCCAGATCTGCATTTGAACTACGCGACAGCACTGAAGTTCGAGCAAGATTTTGCGAAATGTTTGCAACATTTGTTCATCGCAAGCAAGTTGGATCCACATTTTTTCGATGCCAAAGAACGTTATGAATCATTGTGCATCTATCTGAAACATTTTTCGGAAGCCATTCAGCGAAAAGGTTCTTCAATTCATTAGTTATCTATGATGATATTCATTGTTCATTTACTTTGAATTTAGTCTATCTGTTTGTTTTTTCGCTTATCTCTTTGTCAGTGCATTCATTTATTTCTTCACTTTTTCATTTTGCGTAATTGATTCTTGAAATATCATCGGGCAATTTGAGAATTTTTCAACCAAAATTGATACTTCAGAAGATTGTTTTTTTGTAAATATATTCGCTGTCAATTGTTGAATTTTATAGGTAGGTTGAAATCAAAACGTTTAGTGGAGTTCCAAAAAGCGTTGAGTAATATTCCGTCGAACAAATCCACTCAACAGCAACAACTTCTGTCGAGGCGAGTGTATCGAAACAATGCTGCGCGAGATTCGGATGATAGGAAAGAGGAGAAAGAATTGACGGAATGTGATTTTGAGTCGTTGCATGAAGGGCCAAACGAAAACGTTTATATTGTGGGTAAAGTGTGCGGAATTGTACCGAATCCAGATAGTGTTCCATTGTTAGTTCGTTCAAGAATTTATGAACACTCTTGTTTTATTCTAAAATCCCGTCATTGTTGAGCGAGAGGGAATCGTGTGTTTATGTGTGAATGTTCATTTTGTAGAGATAGTTTCGTAAAAAGTTTTAGCTATCATTTTGGGAATGTTCTTTCATTCGATTCTGTTTGTTATTTGTATCTATTTTGTTATTTGAGAGTAATCAGTGAGTAATTTCTGCAGTATTTGATGTAGAAATGTAAGCGGTCATTCATTGAAGTGATAGATTAGAAAATTTTCGTCGAGAAGTTAGAATTATCTGTTTTATTTATTGGTCCATTTAAACGTCGCATCGTTAAGCTATACGTTTTGCAGTACGTTTGTTGGTTGCGATCGACGCGGAATCTGTTTAGGCTTCACAGTTTTTAATTTCTCACCAAAATTTGGAATGAT